ATATACTTTTGATTATTATTTTGTTCTATTTATTTTATTATTTTGTACATATGGTGTGAATGTCATCCTACCTCACTATAACCAATGTCCAACAGACAGATTGTTATAATACTCAATAAAAAAATTTTAAAAAAAAATAAAAGGAGGTTGGTTCTCCTGCTTCAGAGCACAAACTGAGAGCCGGAGTGGTCTGAAACGCGCAAAATCGCAATCCTAATACCAGCGTGATGTACTGCATCAAGTTTATTAAGGATCTGGAAACATGCAGAACCGTAGATAAAACAACCATAGTCCAGTTTCGAGAGGAATGTTTAAGCGAGGCAGATCTGTAGAAAAGGGGTGCAAAGGTCAGAAGGACGAGATCTTGTGTAGAGGATATGGAAAGTGGATATATACTAAATGGAAGACCTTCATGCTTTATACCTAAAAGAATTTAAGTTCTCAACGAGATCAACGATCTCTAAATTGGTCAAATATTGATGTTTTTTTAAAAATTATTCTTTGTTTTCTGACTGTTTTTAGAGACCTGTGTTTTGAATTTTCCAATTAAATACTGACAGCTTCATCTAACGAACATCCCAAGTAAGCGATTAGTCTGATACTGGGATTATTTGTGTCATAAAAGAATCAGATATAAGGACACGAATATTATAAAATACATGGATCATTTATATATTATAATTTTTTCATGTTATTATTTTGAATAGTTTAGTTTCTTTTTGTTCATATACATCTTCTTTTAGTATTATTATTTTGCAGTGCAATTTATTTTTATTTATTGTACATAGGATGTGAAAGAGATACCATATCACTATTACCGTAGTCTTTGAATGTGACAAAATGTAATATTGCTCAATAAAGAAATGTTTGTAATTAATTTAAAAAAATGACATAACATTATGTTATAAATAATTATAATAAAATCCATTACCTCTCCTGGAAAGGTGTATCCATGGATCTTGTGCTCAGAGCCCTGCTGATTGACGGTTCCGTAGTGTATGTAGAGCTCCTCGAACTGATAGCGATAGGCCAGGGGTCCTCCGGTAATATTAATGTGGTTCTTGGTGTCTTTGTCTACCCTGAAGACAAGACTTTGTCCAGTGTTGTGCAAGGTCCCGCTCACCTGGAAAAAAAAAATCGTTCATGCAGAATACTCAAATTAATCTTTAAATTTTTTAATATTTTGTTGAGAAAAAAAATACATATTGCCTCAATTAAAGGCATTGAGTATTTAGAATGAATGAAACACAAACATACCATATATACAACAAAAGAAAAACAAGAGTATAACAAAATGAAACTTGGAATAATAGAATAAATCAAACATGAGACAACATTAAATAAAAAAAATAAAAACACATTCATACTTATCTACAATATTTACAGTCAGCTGAGGGAGGTCCGAGTCGGGCCTTTTCCCCGACGTGTGGAGGATAAGCCAAGACTCCAAGAGATCCCAGCGCTTCTCTCTCAGTCGCATCACTGGGATGGGAATCCAGTGGAGACTAAGAGAGGGCACTAAAGCCACATACGCTCATGACTTGAGTGGAGAAGCTGGCCATCGCCAGGACTCCAACGACGTCTTTACAAAAGATCTCGAGGCCACTGCCGCTTTAACCTTCGAGGAGGATTGTAGGGATGACTGGAACTGGATAAGGATTGTGCTAAGGGATTAGGATAATGGATTAGGCTCTGATGAAAATATGAAAATCGGGATAGAATAACGTCAAGGACATAAGGGATATTAAGGTCATGATGTAAGGTTTTGTTCGTAACATAATAAGGAGCATTGACTATTATCCGGATCACTTTAAACTGGAAGGATCGGATGCGTTGGATGTTCGAAAATTTAGTTGTCCCTCACAGTTCAAGTCCGTAGGTCCAGATGGGTTTCGGTATGGTCTTGTATATTAATAGTTTGTTTTCAATTGAGAGACTAGATTTTCTGTTAAGTAGTCTGTATAACTGGCCAAGTCGTCGGTTAAGCTCTTGTCTTTTAAGCCTGGTATGTGGGTTTCATGTTAGTCTTTTGTCTAAAAGGAATCCAAGATACCGATGGATATAAAATGTATATAAATAATCATATAATTGTTCTTAATAATTAAATAAAATAAATAATGGTGGCAACAAAATTTAACAAGTTTCAGAATTGAATTAAAAGTAGGTTAATAACGAATTATTATTTGTAATAGTATATTTCGACTGACACTCGATTTGGAAGAGGTCGGTCACAAGAATCTCATAGATGCTATTAATTGTTTAGAAATGATTTCTATTTATTATGTTTTTTCCTATACCCCTTGATGTGTGCTATTGAAGAAAGATATATCAAAAGAGAGAATAGCGTTCATATATATATATATATATATATATATATATATATATATATATATATATATATATATATATATATATATAAGACAAACAAAGTAAACTAAAATAACATAAACAGTCTCGGGGGTTACTTAAATAGTTCTCTTAGGTATATTTCGTAATCAGTCGGATTGAGAAAGGAGTAGGTGTTTAAAAAGTGAGGTTCAAAAGAGCAAGCTGATTGTGCGTGACGAATATCAGGAGGAATGGAATTCCAGAGGGAGGAGGCTTAAATAGCGAAGGATTTGTCAAACGCAGCATTTCGGTGAGGAGGAGGATATAGGTTGCATGTACGAGATCTAGTGGGACTGGATTGGATGGAGTATGTAAATTGAAAGCTGTGATAAATACAGGAGGGTCGATGAGTTCTAATGACCTTGCACATAAAGGTAACTAGAGCCACTTCAACTCGGTGTAATACTGGGTAATGCTTATCTCTTGCTATTCCAAAAACAAAACTTCTTGTGCAATTTTTTAGGAGTTTAAGTTTGACTTCGAAATCTCCCGAGAGTCTACCGTACACCATACAAACATAGTCGAAGTGGGAGAAAACAAGAGAGGAACTAGGGGTTGACGTGACTTATATGGAAGGAGATAAAGTAGACGATTGAGCTGTTTTAGGGTGAAGATATAGCCACGGGAAATTTGAGAGATGTGTGGTTTCCAGGAGAGTGTTCGATCAAAAGCAACAACTAGGTTTATAAGGGAAGTATGAAATAAGATAGGTGAGTTGTTCAGGAGAAGATACGGGAAGGTTTCGAGGAGTGAGGGAAGTCCGATTAAGATGGTTTTCATCTTGGCGTTCAGAGTAAGACATTTAAGGTTTTCCCAATCACTTACTCTATTAATATCTTCTTGGAGTTTTAGGATGGCATCTGAGGAATCGGTCGGATTGAAGGGGAGGTAAATTTGAACGTCGGCATACATGTGGTATTGTTAGTGAAGGATAGAGGATGGGAGTGTGTCATGTTGGATTTCTAGAAAAAAAAATCTTACTTTACGCGGTGAATATTAGGGTGACATGGTATGATAATAGAAATGTGTCGAGAAAAGTGTATAGTAGAAAATAAGTTTCTATTGATGGGGTTCACTACTTTTGCTGAATCGGTTCCGTAAATAAATTTTCTTCGGTCTAGCCTGAATCTGTATAAGTGAGTTTGTCACCTGTGTACGTCCGGCTGAAGTAAGAGTCTGAATCTGTGAATTTTTTGAGTATTGGAGGTTATAAAGAATTCAATATCAGTCCGTGTAATAGTATTTGTAATTAGATGTTGGATGTACCCTTCTTAATTGTCAAAAATTGAGGTTATACAGGCCAAACGGCCCAATATTTTTGTAGCCCACCTTTTATATCGATTTTGTGATCAAATTATCTTACGATCCAAGTGGAAAGCATGGGTAAGATGAAATGGGTGATTACGAGTTTTAGTACCAAATTAAATAGAAAAATTTTGCTGACCTCCAAATCGAAAACGCCCCAATTCCCATAATTTTCGTAAATAAAATATTTGTAGGTTATGATGAGGTAAAGGCATTTAAGAAGTTTCAGGAGGATGTTAATAATTTGAACAAAAAAAAAGAGGTAATGTATGTTATATAATCTTAATTTTAATATAACCTTAATATGATATAACCAAAAAGAACAAGGAGCTTCCTCAAGGAACTAGGTGTCGACATTAAGGACGTAGTGAGGTTGGCTGAAAATACATTCCTCGACTCCCTGTGAATCATACAGCACCACGTGCATGGCTAGGCTGGGAGTTTTAGTTTATTTATTTATTTAATGTAAAATTGAAAACAATAGAGATAAAGAGAAAGAAGTGAGAGAAAGGGAATGTTAAATGTTGAAGAAAAAAAAAATAAAAAAAGCATGAACAATGAAAGGAAGGAAAAAGAAAAAAAAAAGATATATTTATTTTACTAATATAAACTAATACTTCTGTATATTTATATATAAGTTCATCTATCGCCCTAAGGATTGAAGAGTATGCTGTGTATATAGCAACCCAATGTAATTGGGCAGCAATCTTTTATATTTTATATTTTTATGAAAATAAAGTGTTTCTCTCTCTTTTAACGTTTTCATAAGACTAGACGCATATGATTCCAGAACATTTATTTAAGTTTTATGAAATAATTAAAAAAAAAAAAAAAGGGCTTTGCTTAAAATCTGGGTAAAATTTGATAATTATTTTTTTTTTTAGAATACAATAATATAAAAAATGCTAAAATATGAAAAAATAAATTCTAGCGACGGGATACCGGGAAGAGTATTGTATAGACTATCTAAGTGTTGGTTGTATATTTTCAGAGTTTGATCATTGTCACCTTTTAAATTTAGTTATATTTTTAAACTTCTTTAAGATTATTTCAATATAACATAATCTTTTTGATATTTTCAGATTTATTTTTAATATAGACCCTATTTCAAATTGTTGTCACAAAAGTGATTACACTTAGATTATTAGAGTAAAAATTGAGACAGATTATAATTTGATGAATATGTGTATATATATATATATATATATATATATATATATATATATATATATATATATATATATATATATATATATATATTATATATATATATATATATATATATATATATATATATATATAGTGCTTTATGTGATATTCATTACCTTGGGCTTGTCGACAATTATGTGCCTCAGGAAGGGGTCGTAGAGCAACTTGTGGGGCTCAACATTTATAGGTGACTGCCTCCTTCCTTTGTTGCACAAGCTCCATTCTGGATTAATTCTCCCCCAGTATTCTGGACCTGTAAACAAACAAAAAAAAGAATACACTGAAATGAAAATAAACCGAATTAATTAAACATTTTCATATCAATTTCAATTCGAAAACCGGTTAAATCCAATATTTGTATAGCGGTTATTCAGAATACAGTGAAATTTCCGTATATATAACAGTTGTGTCCTGGAAATTGTTATTTCAACCTCAATTTTTCCCCACAGCCAACAAATACTCCTAAAGTTATCAGGAATTGATGTAATTAGTCGTATTGAGCCAAACCTGAAGCCGATTTCAAGAATAAATATACACTAATTAAAATACCTGCCGCTCGGATTTTTATTTATTGTTTAATTTTTAGTGGAAACGTGAACAAAGATAAAAACAAAAAAAAGGATAATTAAAACACCATAGCGCTCCTATTATTAACTTTTCAACTTATAACTAAATGTACTTTTAATCAATTTGTATTTCATTGTTATATTAGGATTTTTAATGTTTTTTTATGTTCATTTCGCATTTTTATTATGTTCAGAATTTATATTATTATTAACCTTTAAAATGTTAAGAATGATATATATATATATATATGCATGCATGTTCAATAACATTTCCTAATATATATATATATATATATATATAAAATCGCAATATAATTACAAATAACAATATAATTATTTATCCATTGGTTATTAAGACAATATTATTAATATTGAACAGAATATAGATGATATTGTCGTTGTTTAACCCCTTTTATGGCCAAATAAAATGTGTTATCTATGTGAATATCCGCAATTTAAAAATCAGACAGTTTGTTACTTTCCTGCCTATACTAGGTAAGGAAAGTATTGCAATCGGGTCAAATTTCCGATATGCGGTTTTTGACGGATCTATACGTTTCAGAGCCAACTGATTTCGAAAAACACATTTCTAGCCATTGGTCTATCTGTCTGTCTGTTTCAAGATTTTATCGGGAACTGCTAAACCGATTGTATTGCTTCTTTTTTTCTTACGTAGGCTTTTGACTACTGATGCTTGTGAAACAAATTGGATGCTTTTTTTTTTTTAATCTGTTTATTGAATAATAATACAATCAGCCACTGCTGGAGGGCTATAAGCATTAGGGCTAAAAGTTCTCATTCATACAATATATACAAATAATAAAGAAATAAATATAAATATAAGAAGTAAATAAATAATACTGGTGAAGAAGTTAAATAAAAAAATAAAAATAAAATAAGCAAATAAAATAAAATAAAAACTTCTAAACACAATCATACCTATATACAATATATACATTCGCCCAAGAATCTCCGAGCCAGGCTTTTTCCCCCACACGTGGAAGGCAAAGCAAGACTCCGGAAGATCCCAGCGCCACTTTTCCAGCCGCATCACTAGTATTAGAAGCCAATGGAGACTGAAAGAGGACACTAGAGCCACAGACGCTCAGGACATGAGTGGAGAAGCTGGCCATTGCCAGGACTCCAAAGGCATATTTACAAAAGATCTCGAGGCCACTGCCGTTTCAACCTTCGAGGGGGATGGTATGGATGTTTGGAGCTGGATAGGGATTGCGCTAGAGGATTGGGATGATGAATGAGGTTCTGGTGAAAGTTGGAGAATCTGGATGGGATGATGTCATGGACATATGGGATGTTAAGGTCATGGTGTAGGGTCTTGTTCGTGACATAATATGGAGCATTGACTATTGTTCGAAGGACTTTGGACTGGAAGGATTGGTTGCATTTGATATTCGATGATTTAGTTGTCCCCCACAGTTCAAGTCCGTAGGTCCAGATAGGTTTCAGTATGGTCTTGTAGATTAATAATTTGTTTTCTGTTGAGAGATGAGATGTTCTGTTTAGTAGTCTATATAGCTGACCTAATCGTCGGTTAAGCACTTGTATTTTAAGTCTGGTATGTGGGTTCCAAGTCAGTCTTTTGTCCAAAAGGAAGCCAAGGTATCGGACTGTGTGTGAGTAGGGAATAGGAATTGAATTAAAAAGGATTGGCGGACAGGATCTGCGTCGAAGAGTGAAAGTTACATGCTTGCATTTTGATTCATTAATTTTGATGCGCCAGTTGTTGCACCACTGCTCAATGATGGAAAGGTGTCTTTGCAGGTTCTGAGACGCTATAAGAGGATCCGAGTGAGAGAATAGGATGGCAGTATCCTCAGCAAATGTTGTTAGGAAGGTATCAGGACTTGAAGGGATGTCAGCGGTGAAAAGGATGTAGAGAACTGGGCCCAAGACACTGCCTTGTGGAACACCAGCCTCAATTGGATAATGTTTGGAGAGTTCAGTGCCGCAGCGGACTTGAAAGGAGCGATTTGGAAGGTAGGATTTGAGGGGACTAGGTACAAGGATTGAGGTAAATGGGTTTTGAGCTTGAAGAGCAAGCCACCGTGCCACACCCGGTCGAAAGCTTGAGCTACGTCCAGAAAGGCACCAGTGCAATATTGCTTGTTTTCAAGTGCAGAGGATATGTGGTCCACAACGCGAAGGCCTTGTTGGACAGTGGAGTGTCTTGAGCGGAATCCAAACTGATGGGGAGGGATATTGTGGGATTCGAGTATGGGTAGGATGCGTTTGAGAAGGATTTTCTCAAAGATTTTGGAAAGGACCGGAAGTAGGCTTATCGGTCTATAGGATGATGTATAATTAAAAGGTTTACCTGGTTTAGGAAAGAGGATAATTATGGAGTGTTTCCACACCAGAGGAAAGTGGGTTGTGCGGAGAATACAGTTGAATAGGTATGTAAGGAATATAATTGCTTTTTTGGGAAGTTGTCTGAGGATCTGGGAAGTAAGGAGATCGTGTCCTGGAGATTTGCGAGGTTTTAGGTTCTTTAAAAGGAATTTGACCTGAGAGGGGTTGACGGCTGTAGGAGGTAAGGAGAGAGGAATCGGTGAAGAGAGGAATTCTTTAACTTCAGCAGTATGGGAGGGATGGAGTTGAGGATGAGGAGTGAATGTGTACGATAGATGTTTAGCAAACTCTTCTGCTCTATTCTCATCTGACGAAGCCCAGGAACCATCATCACGGCGGAGGGGGTGGGAAATGGATTGGAATTTAAGGATTTTTTTAGTTACATTCCAGATGGAGTTATCACTTGCAGATAGTGAGGAATGATAGGAATTATAGGATTGGGATCTAAACGTAGCCAGTTTTTGTTTTACTTGCTTGGAATAATAGTTATATGATTTCCGATCATCAGGATGCCTGGTTCTTTGCCAGGTAGTCCTAGAGCATCGTTTTCTATTAATAAGGTCCAGTAGGTCTTGTGGTAGAGGATTTGTTTTGCGGTATTTTTTAGAAGGATCAGGTGAAGATGCAGTTCAAACTGCTTGTTGGATCAAGGTAGTCATGGAATGTACTTCTTCATCTAGGTCTGTAGGTGTTTTTAAGGAAACTCTGAGGTCAATATTATCATCCAGTATTTGACCGAAGAGGTTCCAATTAACTGGCCCCCTGATAAATGAAGGTGGAGGTGGTTGGGAATTGGTGATGTGGAAACCGTTAGGATTAGAGGACTATGGTCTGAGGAAAGATCGTCAAGTCTTGAGATGCAATAATTAAGGGACCCTAGACCTTTGTGGATGAAAAAATCTAGGAGATCGGGATTGCGGTTAGGATCTGTTGGCCAGTATGTGGGAGAATTGGGCGAGAAGATGTTGCTGTGATGAGAATTAAGTGCAGATAGCAATGTTCGTCCTCGGGAGTTTGTGGTTATGGCTCCCCATTGCTGGTGTTTAGCATTTAAGTCTGTACCTAGAAGGAAGTGGTGTCCTAAGGAGTTAAGGAAGGAAGTTAATTGGGATTCTGAGATGGGTATTTTAGGTGGGGAGTATGCTGCGACTACTGCTATTGGGTAAAGGGAAGTTTGGTTTATCACGGCAGTGGATTGTAGGAAATTATGGGTTAGCAAAGGGAATAGATGATGGGAAAGGGATTGATGGATAATTATGGCAGTGCCAGCATGTGCTGTTCCATCAGGATGGTCGGCTCGATAGATACGATAGTTGGGGATGTTAAGTGGTCGTTTGTTGGTAAGTCGAGTTTCAGTTATTAATGCTATATCAATGTTTTTGTCCTGTAATAAGATTGTAAGTTCGTTGATGTGATTTCGAATACCATTCGCATTCCAAAGGAGAACGGAGAGGGATTTGATTGGGGACATTTAAGGATTTCTTAGCAGTGGGATGAGGTTGGATACAACATTCGTAAGTAATGAAATGAGAAGAGTGATGAGTGACCTGAATTCAGAGAGGAAAGAAGTCAATAGGCTTGTGAGGTCAGTGGCATTGGGAGGAGGAGGAATGAATGCCTGGTTATTAGGCCTAGGTTCAGAGATGGGATAAGGTTCTTGAGGTTGAGATGTGAATACTCGAGGTTGAGGTTCTTGTAGCAGGGCCTGAGTTTGTGTTGGTGCAGTGTCTCCTTTGAACATCTGAGCATAGGATACTCTATTATTTACAGTTCTAGAGGGTTGTCTAGGTGGCCTGGATGGCCGATCTTCTCTTGGAAGTGCATAAATTCTTGCTTTCTGTTCCTTATATGTTTGGCAACCCTTGTAGTTCGCTGGGTGCCCTTGATGGCATAAGGCGCATACTGCTGGTGTTTTTCTGGACTTCTGGCACTCCTCTGTTTTATGTTGATCACAGCACCTGACAAATCTAGGAATGTGGTGGCAATAGCGTTTCCTATGACCATAAGCCTGGCAGTTATGGCATTGTACAATGTCGCGCTTAGTGTAAAAAGCGGCTCTAACGATTTTGATGAAACTTTCCTATAATGTTCTATAATTTTCGGCTCAATTTCCGTATATGGATTAAATTCCCGAGAAATTTCAGAAAAAAAAAGTTATAAAGAAAAGAAAACTGTTTTGGGGCCTAAAACGCTAAGTATATATTATATGGTAAAATTTATAATAAAACTTTTTAAAGGTAATTAAATCAACAACAAAACAAAAAAAAATCATCGGAATCGAACCACTATTAGCGATGACACAGCATACCCTAATCTA